CTCTATGCAATTTGCCAGTCTGTTTCTTTTAATTGGAGCATTTAGCCCGTTTATGTTTAAGGTTAATACTGTTATGTGTGAATTTGATCCTGTCATTATGATACTAGCTGGTTGTTTTGCCCGTTAGTTAATGTAGTTTCTTCATAATGTCCATGTTCTTTACAATGTAGTATGTTTTTGCAGTGGCTGGTACTGGTTGTTCCTTTCCATGTTTAGTGCTTCTTTCAGAGCTCTTATAAGGCAGGCCTGGTGGTGACAAAATCCCGCAGCATTTGCGTATCTGTAAAGGATTTTATTTCTCCTTCACTTATGAAGCTTAGTTTGGCTGGATATGAAATTCTGGGTTGAAAATTCTTTTCTTCAAGAACATTGAATGTTGGCCCCCACTCCCCTCCCTTCTGGCTTGTAGGGTTTCCGTAGAGAGATCCGCTGTTAGTCTGATGGGCTTCCCTTTGTGAGTAACCCAACCTTTCTCTCTGGCTGCCCTTAACGTTTTTTCCTTCATTTCAACCTTGGTGAATCTGACGATTATGTGTCTTGGGGTTGCTCTTCTTGAGGAGCGTCTTTGTGGTGGTCTGTATATTTCCTGAATTTTAATGTTGGCCTGTCTTACTAGGTTGGGGAAGTTCTCCTGGATAATATCCTGAAAAGTGTTTTCCAACTTGGTTCCATTCTCTCTGTCACTTTCAGGTACACCAATCAAATGTAGATTTGTTCTTTTCACATAGTCTCATATTTCTTGGAGGCTTGTTTGTTCCTTTTTATTCTTTTTTCTGTAATATTGTCTTCTCTCTTTATTTCATTAAGTTGATCTTCAATCACTGATGTGCTTTCTTCCACTTGATCGATTCAGCTATTGATACTTGTTTATTCTTCACGAAGTTCTCGTGCCATGTTTTTCAGCTCCATCAGGCCATTTATGTTCTTCTCTACGTTGGTTATTCTAGTTAGCAATTTGACTAACCTTTTTTCAAGGTTCTTCGATTCCTTGCATTGAGTTATAACATGCTCGTTTAGCTCGGAGGTGTTGGTTATTACCCACCTTCTGAAGCCTACTTCTGTCAGTCAGTCAGACTCATTCTCTGTCCAGCTTTGTTCCCTTGCTGGCGAGGAGTTGTGATCCTTTGGAGGAAGAGAGGCGTTCTTGTTTTTGGAATTTTCAGCCTTTTTGTGCTGGTTTTTCCCCATCTTTGTGGATTTATCTACCTTTTGTCTTTGATATTGGTGACTTTCGGATGGGGTCTTTTGGTGGACGTGCTAATTCTTTCTGTTTGTTTGTTTCCTTCTAACAGTCAGGCCCCTCTGCGGCCAGTCTGCTGGAGTTTTCTGACCCTGTTTGCCTGAGTATCACCAGCGGAGGCTGCAGAGCAGCAAAGATTGCTGCCGTTCTTTCCTCTGGAAGCTTCAACCCAGAGGGACACCTGCCAGATGCCAACCAGAGCTCTCCTGTGTGAGGTGTCTGTTGGCCCCAACTGGGAGTCGTCTCCCAGTCAGTATACATGGGGGTCAGGGACCCACTTGAGGAGGCAGACTGACCCTTAGCAGAGCTCGAATGCTGTGCTGGGAGGTCTGCTGCTCTCTTCAGAGCCATCAGGCAGGGACGTTTAAGTCTGCTATAAGCTCCTGACTGGGGCTGCTGCCTTTTTTACAGAGATAGCCTGTCCAGAGAGGAGAAATCTCAATTTTATCCTTTTCTTAATGTGAGAGTGTACCTGCAGAATAAATTCATACTTTCTCTCTTTTTATTTCTGGAATGGGGATTCTAGGAGGACAGTCCATGTTTTATTCATCTCCCTGTGTCTAATGCCTCTCATAGTACCTGACACATAATGGGCACTGCAAATGTTTGTATGAGTGGACTTCAGATTTCATTGCAGGTTGACTCTAAGTTTTAAACAGAGGATTCTGTTTCATTGCAAGGACTACAGATCCAAGCCTTGTCACCTATCGGACACACATGAACACTTAAAAAAAAATTTCTGGGTGAAATTCATCACCAGTACTAGAACATTTCTTTTTTCTGATATTGAGTTTATAGCATCCTTTTCTCTTTTTTTTCTTTTTTTTTTCTTTTAACCTAGAGCACTTAAGTTTACACACTGAACTCCTTGTACTAGAGTCCCCTTCTTTCTCAGGAATTATTTATCTGTAGCCAGATCTCCTGCCTGGGTGTTATGACCAGACAGCCTAGGGGAGAGTCCTCACACATGGGTTGTTGAAAGTATACTGTTGTGGGCATATTAGTTTGTGTTGGCTAGACTATGGTAACAGGTACCCCCTAAACATGTACTGGCTCAGCAGACTCACAGATGTGCAGTGGCTCTGCACTGCTGGAGTTTGTTTCTCAATGACATAATTATTCTAGGTAGGTTTCCTCCACGCAGTCGTTCAGGAACCCAGACTCCTTGTGTCTTGTGGCTCCTCCAACCCCTAAGTCTTTTGTCATTGTTTCACATCCAGCCAGCGGGAGCAAAAAGGAGTGGAGGAGTGTACATGAGAAGTTTATGAATCAGCCTGGAAGTACTACACCTCTTAAATTTTTTAGGATAGAGCTCAGTAATATGACCCTACCCAACTGTAAGGGAGCCTGGGAAATACAGTAAAATTGTGTGCCTAGGAAGAAAGAAGGAATTTTTATGAACAGCTAGCAGTTTCTGCCATAGTCTGCCCCCGTGGCAACCAGTGTCTATATATCCCTGTGAGCAAAGGGCTTTAAAAAAAAAATTCTTTATGGAAAAATGACCATGGGTTAACTTACCAGTTCATTTTCCCTAGAAACAGATAAAATTGGAATATCAGCTGTGTTAATAAAAAATATTGCTGTATTTTAAAAAGAGGCCCCTGGTTTGTAAACCGCATCTGAACTGAGAGAACTGTGAATGAGCTCTGAATACTGTTAGGAGCCCATAGCAATGGTTTTTCCTGAGAGCATTGCAACCCTTGTAGTGGAGTGTGCCCCCTCCTTGGTGACTATGAAGCCACATTTATGGAACTGTTATAAAAGATACTGGTTCTGGTGTGGAGCTTGGGGCAGTTAAGCCAGGATGGCTCCTGCACCTACCTGCTAACTAAGAAGTCATTTGGGTAGCTAGATAAGAATCCTTGGAATGCTGTAAAGACTTCTGCTGAGACACTTGCCGCTGCCCAGCGGGCATGTGCTGTGTTTCCTTTGTATAAAGCTGTGTGCCCTTGGCTGTCTTGAGCTTTGTCAGTTTGAGGGCCAAGTTGCTGCAGAGATCAACGATAGTGGGTGTTGCAGAATCCTGCTTCCCAAACGGAACACATCTCTACCCCAAAGGATGCAAGCAGGATATCCAGCTCGGTGCAGGACTGCCACGTGACTTTCAATTCTCTGTCAGACTACATGTGGTCACTTGGACAGACACCCATACCCCAAAGAAGATGAATAATTTACCCCTCCCACATTCATGATAAACACAGCAGGGACAGGATATCCACCACAAAAACTCTCTTTCAGAGAAGGAAGAAATGAGAAACATAAGACAGTTACTGGTCCCTAACAGTGATGAATCCCACTGGGAGGGCATGAATGCTCCCTGTCCTGGTAGCAGCAGAAATCCCCCGATTAGATGAAATATGTCCTATCTGGTGTTTGGAACTTATACTAAATTTAATTGTGCGTCCTACATCTTGATTTGCAAAATATGGCAACCCTAAATGGGGTCTGCAGAGCTTTCAGGGCCAACTTCTATTTCGCTGGAAGACTCAAGGAGTCAAAGGTTTTTTGTTTTTTGTTTTTGTTTTTGTTTTTTGGCCAGGCTGATGGTTTCTTTGGCAATGCAATTTCTTTAAAAACTTGGAACATAGGTTTCTGAACTGTTTACATCCAAACAATTCAAAGGGCCAGTAACCTGTCTAAGCTCTTCCCTAGGCATAGTTTATAGGACTGCTTTATTTCTTCAGTTTCTCACCCCTGTTCTGCTTTCTGAAATTAATGTTGACTACCTTGAGGCCATTTGCTACAAAAGTTTGGGTGGAAAGACAACACCCTTAATCTGATCTTTGCCTCAGAGCTGAGTTTGTTTACCTGGGGAATTTTACTGGGCCTTGTTTCTCAAAGCCTTTTTTCATACTTACTTCTGTAACTTGTGGTCTAAAAGTCAGTGGGTTTTCTAACCCTGTGAATCCTGTTTCTTTTCATCTCTGCTTGAAAGCCAACTAGTTCTTGCCTGAGCTTTTCTGTTTTTTTCTACTGCCCTGCTAAATGCATTAGGCTAACAGCAACACCTACTAACATTTGGCTTTTCCAGCCTCTTCTCCCAGAGCTCGTAAGTTTAGGAGCCCCTTGGGCTACATTCCAAGTTTTATCTAATATTTTGCCAAGGCATAATATTAGGATTTCAAACATTCATGTGTTTCTCTACTGCCCAAGACCTGACCACTAAGCTAATGTGTCAAGGTATCCATTCCATATGTGTGACCACAATAGCACACAGAAGTAACACATAATGACTCAGCAAAGTAGAAGTTGATCTCTTGTCCACATGACAGCCCTGGTGGGGTTTAGGTCTGCACAATAGCTTTCTTCCAGGTGGTAAGTCAGGGACCCAGGCTTTGCCTATCAGTGGCTCTGCCATCCCTGAGCTCTCACCATTATCTTAGTTCATTTAGTGTTAGAGGAACGATCGCAGAGGGGCATTCTGGGTCAGTCTGGATATAGTCCTGCCATTTCTGTTTACTTGACATTGGTTAAAGCAATCCGATGGCTACATCTGGTTGCAAGGAAGAATAAGAAACATAGTCCAGCTGTGTGCCCAGGAGGAGGAGAGTGAGTTTTAATGGGTAGCTCCAGTCTCTGCCACGACTGTCGAAAGAAAGCAGTTGATAAATTGGTTCTTGGTGCTACCAAGGTAAGTGATCAGGTTTTTTAATCCAATTTTTTTGTGTCATGATGAATCCATTTTTTAACATTTCTGTCACAAACAATAAGCAGTAATACACAATTGTATAAATATGTTCTGTTTTTTTTTCTTTTCTAGTCAACGAAACGGAATATTCCAATGCTCTTTGTGCGGGGAGATGGCGTTGTCCTGGTTGCCCCTCCATTGAGAGTTGGCTGAAACAAAGAATTTGTCCTGTATGGAAAACAGGAGACTTTGTACAGTGGCCTTTCTAAATGTACAAAACATTCAAAAGAGAAACCTGCATACATTTTGATACTAAGAAATAATTCTGGGGATTCTTCCACGCCTGAAATGAGTTGATTTGCAGATAACTCACAACTTCTTAAGTGAAATGGTATTTTCATTTTTCTTAAGCTCTTCCAATAAATATGACCACCAAGATGCAGAACTCTTTTTCAGGACTTGTTTGCTCCATTATTCTCACAGATATTTTTCTCATTTTTTTTTTCTTTAAATTGGTGTTTCCTCGTAGATTTTTTTCAGTGCCGTCTTCTGTCTTGTAAATGATTTAAGGTGAGCCCACGTCTTACCTTAGCACACATTTGCAGTGCACCTACTGTGTTTCAGGCACCAGGTTTGAGTGCTGGCAACCAGAGTTTTACCAAAATGCTGTCTGGGCCAGACACAGTGGCTCACGCCTGTAATCCTAGCGGTTGGGAGGCGGGTGGATCACCTGAGGTCAGGCATTTGAGACCAGCCTGGCCAACGTGGTGAAACCCTGTCTCTACTAAAAATACAAAAATTAGCCAGGCGTGGTGGCACATACTTGTAATCCCAGCTATTCAGGAAGCTGAGGCAGTAGAATCACTTGAACCCGGGAGGCAGAGGTTGCAGTGAGCCAAGATCACACCATTGCACTTCAGCCTGGGCAACAGAGCGAGACTCTGTGTCCAAAAAAAAAAAAAAAAAAATTCTGCCCTCAAATCTTCTGGGGAGGCAGATGTTTAAACCAACAATTGCAGGCAGTAAGATTAGTGCTGATAGAATCATGCACATGCAGGATGCCATAGGAGCATGGGGAAGAGCACCCAAATATGGGAGAAAGGGGCAGACAGACATTGTAAACATTAATCCTGCAATAGAAGACAGCAAACCACGATTTCTCTTTTCTCTGGCCGGATTTAATTCTAAGGTCAGACGTGGTTCAGCTTGGTCATACCTGCTTATAATTATGACTCAAACCATTTTTCTACTCTTGGCTCATTGGCCATTAATGATGAGGGGTCTCAAACAACATGTCTCAGTGGCACAGTAAAGCAGAAATTGGCTAAAAGCAAAGTTATTTTTATTTCTAGCTTCAGTCAGCACATAATGCTTAAAACCTAAAGAGAAAAGGAAAAGCATGTTACAATCGCTCCAACTTTATCAAGACAGGACTTAGAACCTGGCCTTCTCCACTATGGTCATTCCATTTTGAAATGTAGAAAATCCAACATGTGGATGGTTTGTCCGTAAATGAGCTGAATGTGTGTGTGTGTGTTCATTATCAAGCACAGTATGCTCACAAATGCACGGTACTTTAAGCCTTGTGCAAGAAAGATGCTTTCAGTAGACATATTTAAAAGGTTTTATTTTCCTTACTAATGGTACATGCCCCTGCAAGTTCATGGAGAAGAGAAACACAAGTGTGGGTGAGCTGATGGAGGTTTCATCTTAGGTGAGGAGGCAGGAGAGACACCCTCCCTTCACTTGTGCTATCCCCACACTTTGTCCTTAAACTGTAGTGGTCCCAGGAGGTAACCTGTTTACAGCAGCCCGTTCACTATTGAAAAATGAACTCCCTCCTGCAGAATGTTAGAAGAAACAACCTCAAAGACCTCAAGCCACCTGTGGTTATTAGTGCATGGCAGCAAGATTGAACCTGCCTGCCTCCTACCTGTGTGAGCCTGTGGTGTGGGTGTGGTGCCAAGGCCTTGGCTCTGGGCAGTTTGTTGGCTCCTAGTGTTCACTACGGTGTGGTGTGACAGGCCATCTGGCCTCGCTCTGCCAGTCTGCAGTTCTCCCCAGCACTACATTCATTTTTAGTGGTTTCTGATAGTCACACTGAATTTCTGGACACTTTCTTCTCTTCATTCTTAGTTACATTTCTCCTTTTTCTCTGGGAACTGATAGTTTACACTAAAACTTTTGGCTATGAGGACTTGATTATACACATTTCTAAAACCCATGAACCTTAATATCTGACATTGTTACTCTCACATGCACATCCAACTACAACATACCAACCCACTTCATTTCCTAGCTGCTAAGATCCAGGGGGAGGGACAATAAAAGGTTAACAGCAGAATAGCCACCTGTGTGTTAGGAAATGAAGGGAGGGGAGGCAATGTGTGAGTCCTTTTAGAGCTGGGACTCAATCCACAAGAAACAGCTCAAGCAGGACCCTGCCATGGTCCACATTGAGGTTTCCTCTGCAGGGGTGCTGTCCACTGCGGGATTATGCTGTGAGGGCCCCTGGGAGCCACGCCTTGGGCTTCTGAGTCTGCAGAGCACTCGGCTCCAGCCAGCTGGATGGCCGTGGTCACTGGAGCTGGTGACTGGTGGTTTCTGCAACGAGGTGTCAGATTAGCCTAAGGGGAGCCTCTCCAGCAGGTGTCATGCCTGGATCCCTGTCTTGGTGGTTTTATGAAAGAAGCTGATATGAATTGCCATTGCCTTCCACAAAGAAAAATGGACAAAATATGGGACCACATATTTGAGATGAAATGTACCCAAAATGAAAAGTAACTTGAGTATCCCAAGTTAAACTTAAATCGTTAGCTACAAATGGACGATTTTCAAATTTCAAATGTGATTTTTGAAGATTTGCCCAAACTAGACTACTATCCCTCTACACACTAAGAGGCAGAAAGTGGTTTCACACACCCTTTAATTTAATTGTGTGTATATTACTTAGTTAAACTGGGTGCGGTGAGGCACACCTGCAAACTCAACCACTAAGGAGACTGAGGCGGGAGGATTACTTGAGCCCAGGGGTTGGAGATCAGGCTGGGCAACATTAACAAGACCCTGTCTCAAATAATACTTAGCTATTGCCCATATTGCTTTTAGCCTGCTGCCAGGAGGCGAGGAATGTTCCATTGTTTGAACAGATGTCAGGTGTGAGTAATGCTCAGCTGTGTTCAATGTAGAAAATTAATAAAAGTTTCAGGAGTCATCCTGGCTAGATCAAGAAGCACAATTGATGTTTCTCTGTCACTCAGCTCTGCTGAACCACGTGGATTTCGTTCATGGGCAAGCTCCTCCCTGTAGCAGATGCAGACTTCCAGCCTACCTGCCCTCCAGCTGCAGTGGGCTCATCCTCCTTGCTTGGTCCCTGTGCCCAGCTGTCGGCTGGTTTTTACGGCCCTGAGAATGTGGGACTCTGATTGGTCAGGCCTTAGTCACACGTCCATTCCTGGAACTAAGAGCAAGGTTATCCCCACCTGAACTGTGTGGTCTGAGTGTAGAGGGAGGGGTTGTTCTCTAAAGGAAACCAGAGGGAAGGGGGAATGGAGCTGGACACAATGCCTATTACAGAGGAAAACTTTTAGTCTGCCCCAACTTATAGGAAAATAAATCCCTTTGGTACTTTGCTATTAGTAACAAATTTCTTAGAACACACCTCAGACTGACACTTTGACTTTAAGCTATTGCTCTGGAATCCAGGAGGTTCTGGAGCAACCTGTGTGGGGATCAGTATGGGTGGAACTCAGATTTGTTGGCTGACTGGGCCTGAGTCCTCTCGAGGGGTCTAGGTAGGAGATGGGCAACACAAGAGGGCTGTTAAGCTGGGGGTGGGTATCGGGGTCCTCAGAGCTTCCGGGGAGGGCAGGGTACTTGAACAGAGTGGACTGAAGAACACTAAGCTCCATGAGACAAATTGCTGCTTACAGACAGAGACCATATTCACAACCCCTGGCACAGGGCCTGGCCAAGAATTTGTCTTCAATAAATGTTGAATGAGTATTTAAATGACAAGAAGACTAGTGCAACAGGGCTTTGTGATCAGCACTGTGGATGGAAGGTTCAAATGGGAGTTTGAAAGAAGGTGAACTTTGCACATTGTTTTCCAGACACTTGTGGTTTCCTTCCTACAAGAGGACAATGTTCCCCATTTTTTACCCTCGTGGCCATCCTCCCCAGTACCATTTACCTGAAAATATCAGTATTTGCCAACTCCAGATACCTAACTAGTTATTAATTTACATGGAAAACTAATACGAAGAAACAAGGAAGATAAGGCCAAATGCTTTAAATTCCTTTAGATGCATTGCCCAATTTTAATAAACCAGAGCATGTAGGTTCTTATTTCCTTGGCTGCTTCTAGAAATATCCTGGGTGTGGAGGCAGCATGCCCCATTGCAGTTTCTGATATTGATTACTCCAGAGGAACGTTTTCTTGGTGCTCATCCCACCCACCTGCAGTGCTGCAGGGATCTGGGCTTGAGTGTTGACACAAGCCCCAGAGTGACCCTTAGTGAGGTGCAGAACTGACCATACAGGGTCTAGCAGTGCAGCGGGGTCAGAGAAACCTGGCTGTGAGTTCCTGCTGTGTCACGTACCAGCTAGGCAAATAGCTTCTGTCCTAAGGTCAGTTGTAAGGGCTGGAAAGTGGCCCTAGGAGCAGGCTAGGGTGGTGCTGGGATGTTACTGCCAAATCACTGACACCAGGGTCACAGGCACAGAGGTGGAAGGGGCACTGGGAGGCCACTCCTTCAGCTTATTCCAAATGTGCCTGCTCTTTCCTTTCCCAGATAGTTTTCAGGAGAATGATGAATTTGAAATAACTTGATTTGTTCCATTGAAAGTTATTTTCAGATGTCTGCTCTGTGCCAGGATCTGTCCACAGAGGCCTGAGCAAGACCAACTATGTGCACGATGCTAAGAGCTGGGAAGGACCTGAAGTGGGTGAGGAGATGGGAGGTGACATGGTGTTGTCGGGGGTGAGGGGGGATGGGGCTCAGGCAGAGGTCTCAGCAGAGAACATTTGAATGGACATCTGAACAGCAGGAGGGAACAGGTCCCGAGGGGATTTGGCAAAACAGCATTCTTCCAGAAACTGGAGGCCGTGCAGAGGCTCTGAGATGAGGGTTTTCCTGGTGGAGGGTCGGCAAGGAGGCCAGTCAGCATGGGAAGAGTGAGCCAAAAGTCTGAGACCTGGGAAGTCCAGGTATCATTCAGAACCTTCATTTCACAGAAGGGGATGAAGAGCCCAAGAGTGAAATAGACTTGCCTGAGGCCACCGTGAGTCCAGGCTAATCTAGTTCTAAAGCCTAAATAAAGGCCACTGTGTGCCCCAGCTCCAGTGGTGCCGCTCATACTGTAGCCTCTGGAGCCGTGCAGTGTGCCGCTCCTGCAGCTACATGGTTCCCTTCTTCCGATCACAGGCCAGCATTTCACCATCCT